GTGGTGCAGAGCACCTCAATAGGTGTTTCAATCTCAAGCCAGGACTAACATTTGTAATCCTTTAAATGCACTTAAGAAATTGATGTTACAGCCCCACAATCTGTTAGGGGCCTTGCTTGCTGGATGATTGCAAAGTATCCCACCATTAATTGGATCATCAGAATGTGATCCGCGTCTCGGTCCCTGGATTATGGAAGACTGACTCTGCTCTGACGTGTTGAACCAGAAGCTCCTTTTGTGAGAGATTTTGACCCTTAATGTAGATAAGTGGTATTTTTCATCAATCTTAGCTTGCATTAAAAAAGGGGAAATGTCAATTCAATGTGGGGCGTTTAACGTAATTCAACATCTTTTAATTTAATACCTTGGAAAAGTTAGTCTTTTGGACCCGCCTAACACTTCTGCTGATGGAATATTTTGTAGAGCCCTGTTGAAAAAAGGTTGTCTTCTATTCCTTAATAAAATCACCATTTTGAAACTCCCTGCTTGCCACGTGATAGTCGTAAAAATAGCCTCACAAATCTCATATAAAATATTTTTCAAAAAACAAATTTTGATTCTTAGCCTCCTTTCTTGGGACAGTGTTATAAAGATGCATGGAAATTCAAGAAGAAAAAAAGAATCTCTCTTATGTATTTCCCATTCATGAGTGTTTGGGCTGTGGAGCAACCAGGTTTTCTGTCCAGTTCCCTGAGATCATCATGAATTTGAACAAGGTAGAAAGGGTAGTTTTAGTCTCCTTAAGGCAAAAAGAAAGATCAATCCAGACCAGTCACTAATGTTTGAATGGTATATATGTCACTGGTCTGAGTGTCAATTCCAGTTTACTGGTTTTTATGAAATTTTATCAACTCAAAAAAATAATATTCCTACATTTGTGTATGTCAGATCATAGCTGGCACATGAGGCAATAAAGCAGTCTTCAGCAATCTTTTACCTCCTCAAAGATTTGTGGTATAAATGTACTATCAAAGCCTCAGCACCTTTGCTTCTTGGATTAGTAGTATTGCTTTCCTGCCAATGGGTAGATGAAGATGCATGTCTTCACTCAGTAAAATGGGCAGGTTGATTTCTGGCTGGGTTGCCTTAGAGGCATGTCACATACCACTTAATTAGAGTCTTGGGTGACAGTCTGGTCGCTGCCACATCTCCAGGCAAAAAGCACATCTGCCTCTTGCATTAAAGACGCTTTGGGTTGAAGAGAGAAGTGGGGTTTGTGACAGAATATGTATATTGTCTGCTGATGCTCTGAAGACAAATGGAATCTCAGCCATAGCGGCGGAAACAAGCATCCGGGTGTTCCCTCCCCGACAGCTTTCGGTTCAGACTTCAGTGCGCCCGTCTTTCCTAATGGGCTCCCCTGGTAGTGCGGGGCCGTGCAAGCACAGGATGGATGAGGCGGCCTACAGACCTGCGTCGGACTTCCCTAGAAAGCAATGTCTTTCTGAGCTATGAACAGGGGTTCTCTTAAGCCTCAGTATGAAGACATAAATTCAACTCTGAGGCAGAAAAGGAAACTGAAGAACCTCCCACAGAACTAGGCACAGCGAATAGGTTTAACAGCAAAGATTTCCTAAGTAAGACCGTCCTGCATCAAAAATGATCGTTGGTTGTTAGGTGCTCTGTTTTAGTATTTCTCGCTTCTGTGAATAACGGAGAGACATATCTTCTGGTTTACTTTTTCCAATCTGACAACGGGATTCTAGATCAATTAATTTTATTCTCTTAAATGGACGGAGCTTATTTTGTATTAGAGGGTTACTGAATTTAGCTTTAAAAAATGAAAACTAGATATGAAAACTGGACCTCCTTATGGAAAATAATGTTCTGCTTTCTTAAAAAAAATCATCCATGCCATTCTAAACCCAGATATTTTCTTGTTTTTTCGTTCTTTTAATGTAAAAATTAACGAAGAAGTAAAGATTTCTCTATTTGCTGAACCTGGATGAACTAACATGTGCATTTCCCAAAGGTTTTATGTTAGAACCAGACACTTGCCTTTTTGTCTTTTATTCCAAACTGCAAGCTACATCTGGCCCCGCAGGCTGAAGGGGAGGTTAAGAGGTGCTGGCGTGATAAAGTAAACCTGCCATAAGCTACCTGCCTTTTTCTTTCAGGTTTTCACCTGGCCTGCCACTGTCCTGAGGAGGCATTATTCTTAACTGCTCTCCAAAGTGGGCTGCAAAGTGCTCCTAGACCTTGTTCCTTTATGTTAAAGTTCCGTCCTAAATGAAGTTGGCAGCTGTTTTGGCCCAGTGTTCATGTACTTCCACAGTTTCCTTCCTGATTGAATTCCTTTAAATCCCTTGGGACAAGGATAGTGTACAAACTGATGCTGAGCAGATCGCCAGCCCTGGTGTTAAAAGTAAGATGCTTACCCTGAAAACAGGTCTGTTTTGTGCTCTAAGAGCTTCTCAAATGGGAAAAGGGCAGCAGAGGCCAGTGCTGGGAGTCTACCAAGTATGTGTCTTTCTCTCTCTCTCCTCTGTGCCGCTGTTTCTCTCTCTGTCCCTCCCCAGAAATTAGAAAAACAAATTCTATTTTCATTTAAAGATCCACAATAACCTTTAACAAGGGAGCCACCGATTTGGGGTGAGTTATGATGACTATAGATATACCTCGTTCATTGCATTTTTATTTACAGAGCTTCACAGATCTTACCTGTTTCTCCAAGTGGAAGGTCTGTGGCAACCCTGTGTCCAGCAAACCTATTGCCGTTTTCCCAACAATCTGTGTTCACTTCAGTTCTTTGTGTCACATTGTTGCAATTTTTGCAGTATTTGGTTGTATTTCAGTCTTTCCCATTGTTATTCTATCTCATGTGGTGATCTATGGTCAGTGATCTTCGATGTTACTATTGTGCTTGTTTTGGGGACCACAAACCATACCCATATAAAACCAAGAACTTAATCAGTAAATGTTATATGTATTCTGATTGCTCCAGCAATGCACTGTTTCCACATCGCTCTTCATCTCCTTGGGCCTCTTTGCTCCCTCAGACACAACGAAATCAAAATCAGGCCAATTAGTAACCTTACAATGACCTCTAAGTGTTCAAGAGAAGGAATGACTTACACACTTCTCACTTGAAATCAAAAGCTGGAAATGATTTTGCTTACTGAGGAAGGCATGTTGAAAGCGGAGACAGGCCAAAAGCTGGGTCTCTTGCACCAGTTAGCTAAGTTGTAAATGTAAAGGAAAAGTTCTTGAAGAAAATTAAAAGTGCTACTCCAGCAAACACAACAATGATAAAAAAACAAAACAGCATCATTACTGATATGGAGAAAGATTTAGTAGTAGAAGATCAAACCAGTCACAACATTCCCTTACACCAAAGCCTAATCAAGAGCAAGGTCTTAACTCTCTCCAATTCTATGAAGGCTGAGAGAGGTAAGGAAGTTGCAGAAGAAAAGATGGGAGCTAGCACAGGTTGGTTCATGGGGTTTAAGGAAAGAACCCATCACTATGACAAGTGCAAAGTGAAGCAGCAAGTTATCCAGAAAATCTACCTAGGATCGTTGATGAAGGTGGCTACACTAAACAAGAGATTTTCAGTGTAGATGAAACAGCCTTCTATTGGAAGAAGATGCCATCTAGAATTTTTCCTAGCTATTGATAGAAAGGATAAATCCATACCTGGCATCAAAGCTTCAAAGAACAAACTGACTCTCTTGTTAGGGTCTAATGCAGCTGTTGACTTTAAGTTGAAGTCATTGCTCATTTGCCATTATGAAAATCCTAGGGTTCCTAAGAATGATGCTAACCCCTCTCTGCCTGCACTCTATCAATGAGGCAACAAAGCCTGGATGACTGTTTACAGAATGGTTTACTAAATATTTTAAGTCCACGGTTGGGACCTCCTGCTCATAAAGAAAGATACCTTTTAAAATGTTACTGCTTATTGATAATGTACCTGGTTAGCCAGGAGCTGTGATACAGAGATAGATAAGGAGACGAATGTTGGTTTCATTCATCTGCACAACAGACAAATGAAAAATACATGAATCTGTGGTTACCCAAGAGCTCTGATGGAGATGGACATGTAGATGAATGTTGGTTTCATTCATCTATACAACATCCATTCTCCAACTCATGGATGAAGAAATAATTATGACTTCAAGTCTTATTAATTAAGAAATACGTTTTCTAATGCTATAGCTGTCATAGACAGTGATTCTTCCAGTGGATGTGGGTAAAGTACATTGAAAACCTTCCATAAATGATTCACCATTGTAGATGCAATCAAGAACATTTGTGATTCATAAGAAAAGGTCGAAATATCCCATTAACTGGAGTTTGGAAGAACTTGATTCCAAACTTCATGGATGAGTTTGAGAGATTCAAGACTTCAGTAGAGGAACTAAGTGAAGATGTGGTGGAAATGGGCAAAGAACTAGAATTAGACGTGGAGCCTGAAGATTCAGCTGAAGGGCTAAAATCTCATGATAAAATGTGAAGGGATGAGAAAATGCTTTTTACAGGTGAGTAGCTTCTTAAGGTGAAATCTACTCCTGGCAAAGATGCTGTGAACATTGTTGAAATGGAAACAAAGCATTTACAATACGACATAAACTTAGTTGAGGAAATAGTGGCAGAATTTGAGAGAATTGACTCCAATTTTGAAAGAAGTTTTATGGTGGGTAATAAAACTTCTTTCAAAGTTTTATCCTGTGTACAAGATAATCTTTTTTGAAAGAAAGACTGCATCAATGTGGTAAACTTCATTATTGTCCTTTTTAAAAAATTGCTACAGCTACCCCAGCCGGCAGCAACCACCACTGTAATCAATCAGCAGCCATCAACGCTGAGCCAAAAAGATTATGACTCACTGAAGGCTCAGATGACCATTAGCATTCCTTAGCGATAAAATATTTTAAAACTGATTTTTAATACATAATGCTATTGCACACTATATTATGGTATAAACATAACTTTTAAATGCACTGGAAAACCAAAAAAAATCCTGTAACTCACTTGATTTTGATATTCACTTTATTGCAGTGGACTGGAGCCAAACCCATATTTTCCCCGAGGTATGCCTATATAATTACTTAACAATTATTTTCACCTTAAACAGTTGTTATTTAAGGTAAATTTACTTGCTTAGAGCATGGTGAGTTGAGGCTAAAGTCAGGAATTTGATCCCGGCGAGGCCAGTTGTTTATCCTCTTAAAAAACAAAATCACTGAACAGGGCGTGGTGGCTCATGCCTGTAATCCCAGCACTTTGGGAAGCTAACACCGTGAAACCCTGTGTCTACTGAAAATATTTAAAAATTAGCTAGGTGTGGTGGTGTGCACCTGTAGTCCCAGCTACTCGGGAGGCTGAGGCAGGAGAATGGCTTGAACCTGGGAGGTGGAGGTTGCAGTGAGTTGAGATCACACCACTGCACTCTACCCTGGGTGACAGAGTGAGACAACTCCTCAAAAAAAAAAAAGAAAGAAAGAAAAAGAATCACTGTATTCCTCTAAAATTCATTAAATGTCTTACCCTTGTGTGCCTCTAGTCACTACAGTATCAGAAAAGGGAGTGTCAGTGTTTCGAAGGCGTTATCAAAACTAGGGAAAAATGACAACGTGTATAAATGCTAATTGTCAGTGGTGTGATCTTCATGTATTAAAGACAACACTGGGAGATTGAAAAACCAATTAAACCCAATTTTTGTTGCCACACTAGAGCCTGTTTCATCGTTACCAACGTAAGAACCAGTTTTTACCTGATATTGAGAATGTATGGTATGAGTGAACACATAATGATCTCACTCTTGCCTTGCAGTTGCTGGCTTCAGGTGCTTGGCTAAGAGGAGGACTAAGGCAAGAAAAAGGTGTTTCAGCAGCTGCGTGCAGACAGAATGCAAGAGCCAGCTGTCATGGAGGCTTGAATCTCCATTTCATGCCTTCTCATGTGCAGTTATCTAAGACGTGATTGTGGGGAACAGACTAAAGAAAAGCTCATCTCCCAAGCGTACGCTGTGGTAGGGAGACTTTCAGCTACATGCATTTTGGGCTCTCGCTGCATGCCACTCTAAATCTCCTCTCTCTATTGGAATGACGACGACAAAAACACCTCACAATGTACAGCTTCTGAAAGCTGGCTGACCTTGTAACCTACTTTGTGAAAAGTCTGCACCCATAGCTATTAGACAAAATTCATTTCAGCCCTTTTAAGTTCTTAATCTTAAAAAAGACAGCTCCCCATGTGTCTTCTTTCCACAGGCTGGAAGCCACAGCACCGTAAGCTGTGGTCAAGGTTCGTGGCTCAGGATCCCATCAGCCTGCTTTTTTAGCTCCCTGTCGCCTGGCATGCAGAATTCCTCATCTCCAGCCCTCTCCCCTGGATTCTCTTGATGACCAAGGTATCTTGGATTCTCAGCATCAACTCACTGGCCTATCTTTAACTCAAAATTTGCCAGTCCTAAATCAGCAACTTCCCTTCTTCCTTATAGTCATGGCTATTAGACATCAGCACATTTATTCGAACATGAAATGACAGTTTTAGTATTCTAAAAATTAGAAATTTCTAGAGAAAGAGTTAAAAATCTCTTGTTTAGTGTAGCCACCTTCATCAATGATCCTAGTAGGATTTTCTCTGGATAATTTGCTGCAGCTTTGAAATGAGCACTTGCTGCTTCACGTTGCACTTTTATGTCATGGGGATGGGTTCTTAAACCTCATAAACCAACCTGTGCTGGCTCCCATCTTTTCTTCTGCAACTTCTTACCTCTCTCAGCCTTCATAGAATTGGAGAGAGTTAAGACCTTGCTCTTCATTAGGCTTTGGCATAAGGGAATGTTGTGGCTGGTTTGATCTTCTATTACTAAAATCTTTCTCCATATCAGTAATGATGCTGTTTTGTTTTCTTATCATTGGTGTGTTTAATGAAGTAGCACTTTTTATTTTTTTAAATAAAATATATCTTTACCTGTGACTGAATAAATGCTTATCATATGTAATTTTATTTAGTATTTATTTTTATTATAAGCTGGTTGCCTGCTTGATCCATCCAGTACTACAGCTTGAAAGCAATTGTGTTTCTGCTCTGAGTGTGTGTGTGTGTGTCTTTTTGTTGGTACACCCGTATGTATAGCAGCCTGTCTTATCTGGGATTATCATTCTCAGTTATTTCTCTTCTTTGCCCCTCTTTTGTCTCTGCCACTCAAACCAATTTCAGCCATCTACCAACTCTCATTTGGGATAATAGCCTCTCTTCTTGCCATCGTCTTGTCATGTTTGATTCGGCTGCGTGAGGATTTTAAATTAGCCAAAATGTTTGCATGCTGGGCTCACTCTGCTGCCACGACTCATTGTGGAGCCACTGCACCACTTGATGCTGATATTGATGATTGCTCAGAGAAAAATAAGCAATGGCTGGTGGCTGTTGTAAAGCTCATTTATGCCGGGCTCCTTGTACACACAGAGAGGGAAGAAGAGCGAGATCACCTGTTTTCCTGCTGCCTCCCTGGTCATCTGATCGTGCTGTGCCTGGCTCCCACTGGGAGATGACAGTGCTGGTAGGCCTGTGATTGTAGAAAGAAAAACAGTGAAAAGTAAAATAAAATAACAAAAGGTGTGCAGTTAATGTCAATGACTTACTCCTGATGGATTTCAACTCCCTAGTAAGACAGCAACCTAATTTTCTTGTTTTCTTTCATTCTCCCTGTCCCAAAGTTTTCTTTTTGGAGATTAACAGGCTGATTCTTGCGTTATGAAACGAGAGGGCATAATAACAGCAAGGTAACTAGAGGACAAGGAAGTTTTTGTTTTGTTTCTAAAATTGTGCTGTGAATATGTCAGAATTGAGACTTTACATTATCCAAAACCTACCTTAATTATTTTTGTTAGGTTTGAAAATTGATCTAATGATAAAAATATAGATTTCTATATCTATAGATATAGAAAATCCAAAAATCATTCTGGATTTTTTTTTTTTTGAAAATACAGCATTTCCTGTGTTTCTTGCCCTGCACAAGCAGAACATAGAGCTCATAAAATATTTCACTTGTTGAGAGGTAGACACATAATTAAGCAGGTACTTTTTCTTAAACTCTCCTTTTTGATACAATGGGACTCTATCGAACTAGGGCCACGTGATTTCAGAACAATGGAATAAAAAGTAGAAGCTTCAATAAATCAAGTGGTTTTGTTTGCAAGACATTAAAAATTTGCTTTAGCTAAGCTCCCTCATTAAATGTTGTAATATAAACATTATGGCCGTCTATTTGTTGAGCCTTGTTTTGCTGTTTGACCTGACTCCGGTTCCTGGTAGCTTATAATTATTTTGAGACTGGAAGTCATCATCCACTTCATCTTGCTGTTCTCTTCCAATGTCAAGTTAAATGGAGCTTTAGATGTCTTCTCTCCTCTCTCACCTCCCTTCCAGAACTGATACCAACCTTTCTGGTTGTTCAAGTGAACTAAATATGGCCTGAGAAGAACCCTGTACTTCTCTATATTTGAGTCCTTGAGGACAAACTGCAAGCTAACTTAATAGGTAGATGAGATTAAGAACCTAACTTGGGGGTGTGGGCCTGTAACAGTGGCTGGATCTTGGCCAATCCCAGCAGCCGTGTCAACCTCTCATATACTATAGAGTGTTCAAACTGTGTGCAAATAAAGCAAACACTGAGCATAGCCAATCCAGCTGTTTCTGTATCTCACTTCTGATTTCTTCACGTCACTCCCCTTTTTGTGTATATAAATCTTCTTCCACCAAGTGGTTGCGCAGGACTGCCTCTAAATCTACGGTGATTCTGGGGGCTGCCTGATGTGTGAATCGTTCATTGGTCAGTTAAACTCCTTTAAAATTAATTCAGCTGAAGTGTTTCTTTTAACACGGTGTTACCAAGGATTCGACTCTATCAGTTTCTCCCTCCATTTACATGCGAAAGTTCTCTTATTCCAAAAACAAAGCAAACAGCAACAAACAAATCCCACAGCTGCCTTCCTTGCTACTGCCATTTCTTCATTACCAATTTTATCATTAAAATATTTCATCGGCCTGATCTCCACCTGGTTGTCACAGAACACTTTTTAACCCCTTGTGATCTGGAGCCTGCCTCCCTACCGTACTTCAACTGCTGCCCGTAAGGCTCCAGTGATCTTCCAGTCACCAAAACCCTGGACTGTCTCAGTGCTCGCTGCTGTATTTAATGGCCTTTTCCTTACTGACTCTTCTTCGTTAGCTCTCATGACCGTATCCATGCCTGACTTTCTCCCTGTTTCTTAGACAGCATTTTCTTTTCTAATTGCTAGTATCTGTCGTTGTTATTCTTCCATGAGTAGGGCCTGAAAGCTCATATCTATGCATATAGTACCCAATTGTACATTCCAGTCTTGCCTCTCTTCTAATTTTCAACGACACTGCAAAATGCTGGTCAGAGACACTCATTTCTCAAACACTTTTTATCTTCTTTTCCGGGCTATCACCTCCTCACTATGATTTTGTTAATCACTCACCGTTTACTCCAATATCCATCTCCACTGAAAAATATCCAAGTCGTCTTTTTAAAAAATAAAAAATAAATGACTTTTCTTCATTGGTCCTTTACATTACAGGTAGGGTTACACTGATTTTTTTATTTTGCTGTATTTATTTTATTTTATTAGAGACAGGCTGTCATTCTGTTGCTCAGGGTGGAGTGCAGTGATGCCATCACAGCTCACTGCAGCCTCAGACTCCTGGGCTCAAGTGATCTTCCCCCCTCGGCCTCCTGAGTAGCTGGGACTACAGGCACAAGACACTCTATTTGGCTATTGTTTTTAGTTTTTGTAGAGATGGTGATTTCACTATGTTGCCTAAGCTGGTCTCAATCTCCTAGGCTCAAGGGATCCTCCTGCCTCAGCCTTCCAAAGTGCTAGGATTACAGGGTTGAGCCACAGTACACATCTCTAAGTCACCTTTGACTCTACCTCTTTCTCTTTCAACTTTATAGCTTGCAACATGTGTGAATTGTATATTTTATTTCACCCTCATTGCAGCACCGTTATTTGGACAGAGCTGTCCCATGATAATGGTACAAATGAGGAGCTGGAGTCTCATGGTCTTATCTCAGCGTTGATGGTCAATGCACTCTGAATGTCATTGCATAGAGAATAACTCCGTTACATGACAGTTGAGGCCCATCTCGAGCCAGCCTCAACATATGTGCTATCCGTATTATTTTATTACCACTTGCTTGTTCTATAGAGCTATGCATGGGTAGCACAATGCTGGCAGATTTTTCCCAGCAAAGTCTCTGAAGAGCACTTTTCGGATGAACAATGATATACAGTAGCCTGAGGGCAGCTATACTGAGAGAAATTTTGGTAATTGGATTAACCACCTTGATTTAGACAGATGATCTTTCTCTCCCCTAAATTTAGCCTTAAGCGGTATCTATTGGCTGCGCTCTTTAAAGAGGAGTAGGAAAAGAACAACAAATGATGGTACTAATTGGCTAATTTTGTGTGTCAAATTTGTCACAGAAACGATGAGTCCAGATTTTGAAGAAGAACCAAACTACCTAGAAGCAGTAAAGCATCAAAGTACCATAAAGCCTACAAATCTATAGGCAGAGATCTCGTAAATATTAGAACAGATAGCCCAGGAAATTGTAGCTAATGCTAATGATACATACAGCCTTGGAACTGGATATCAAATGCTGTGGATCTGATTGAATTCTTATGACTAAATTGATTTCCTCACCATATATGTTATTTCTAAATCACGCATTTTCAAAATACCATGTGGTTGAATAATTCTTTCATAACATTTGAAGCATAATGTTGGGTGTTTTTTGAGAAAATATGCAATTTTCCTTGCAAAATGGTCAATCCATAGGTCATTTCTTGAGCACTTACAATGTGAAGGATCCTGACACCCTGACCCTGCTGGAATGGTCAGTATTAGTGCAGTCGGTGCCCTGTAATTGTTCAGTACTGCTGTTATTCTCCCAAATCTTGGAGAATTTAGGGTGTCCTACAGAGAAAACAAATAAAATTAATTAATTTTAAAAGCATCATGGCAGTAGAAGAATTTATTTTTATTTATTTATTTACTTATTTTTTGAGATGGAGTCTTGCTCTGTTGCCCAGACTGGAGTCCAGTGGCATAATCTCGGCTCAGTGCAACCTCTGCCTCCCGGGATCCAGGAATTCTCCTGCCTCAGCCTCCTGGGTAGCTGGGATTGCAGGTGCCCACCACCATGCCTGGCTAATTTTTGTCTCTTTAGTAGAGATGTGTTACGCTATGTTGGCCGGGCTGGTCTCGAATTCCTGACCTCAGGTGATCCACCTGCTTTGACCTCCCAAAGTGCTGGGATTACTGGCACGAGCCACTGCACCCAGCCAGTAGAGAAATTGTAAAAAGAGTGTAGGAAAACTAGGTAGGCTTTTCTTCTCCCAGATTTTGATGTGTTGGCTGCACCACTAGATGGGCCAGTTCACTCTCTTAGCAAATGTGGCCATTTTGCTGAATGAGCTTGCAAGCTTTCGTTCCCAGAGTTGTTGAATGTGAGATGCTCCTGAGGCAGTTGCTGTTTATATAAAGGGTTATACAACAGGACCCTGAAGCAGGATGACATTTCAGCAGGTGACCCGTCTCTACCTGTCCTGGATTAGAATAATAATGCTAGTGTTCTCCACCTACAGGAGAAACCTGGCCAAGACTAACAGTCAAAGCTTACCAGCGTCAGTCAGTGTTGAGCAAGGAATTCCAAGAAACGTATATTATAATTGTCCTTTTGTCCATCTAATGTTTTACTTTCTGCTAAAACACCTGTTGTTCCTGAGTAAAGATGTTGGTGGCCTTAAAAATAAGGGGGTGGGTGAAAGAAAAAAATTAAAATGATATTAAATGCACAGTGATTCATTGAAAATGAGCCATTCATTGTGTAGCACTTGCTCATAGGAACAAATGCACTGTCTTTTCTGCTATTAGCATATTGCCAATGGTACATCATGAGAGAGCCCAAGGGGACCTGGGCACCCTGAAGTTTCTATGTAGCAAAATAAAGCATGAAGAATCATTTGCAGACAGGCAGCTCTTGACTGTCTCCCCAGGAGAAGTATAGAAGCATCTTGGGGGAAAAAAGACCAATAAATAATAGTCTATTTAAAAAATGTATATATGTATATTCACATGTAAGTGCCCAGTGACTTGCAAACACCTTTCTCATCATGCTTGGGCTTTATTTTGGTCCCATCTCCAACCAGGTCCTACATTACAAAACCAAAGAAGGTCTTAGTAATAATGAGTCCTGGTTTTTCTCACTTCATTGCCTGGAAAATATTTTTGTAGAGGATTAGGAATTGACTATAACCAAATGCATATCATATTGTATAGAGTAGGAATTACCTAAATTCATTATGTAATATGAATAGTTTACCTTAAGTAATAACACATTATTCATGATTTCTATTGGCATTTAGTAATCTTTCTTCTTTCCTTCCTCCCTTCCTCTCTATCTCTCTTCCCCCCCCACCGCCTCTTTCTCTCTCTCTTTTTCTCCTCCTCTTTCCTCCCCCTGTTGAATGAGAGGCTGAGAAAGCTTTGTGTTCCCTTGTTTCCCTCAGAGTTCTGTCTCCTCAGGCTTCATTTCATAAAACGAGTTTAGATGGGATAATTTTAGTTCTTTGTGTGAAGCTATTTTTAAATGTAATTTTTGCTAATAATGCAATTAGTTGTGTTTCTTGCATAATTTGCAGTAAGGTGTTGAAGTTTAAGAAGCTTCATTTTATTTTAATTAACAGTTGATCGGTGATAATAACCAAGCTCTGTAACAATGCCAGCTTTAACTCTTAAAAAATATGCACCAGACCCGTAACTCCTCCCCCTCCTCCCCCTGCCCCCTTTGAAATATTTAATAAGAATGCCATGTATAAAATTACCCTGTTGCAGAGAGCCGGAGCTGCATCCCAATATAGACCGCAGTGGAAAATCACTCAAACATTGCACGATGTGTTTCCTCCCCCAACCTCCCCACCTTTCCCCTTTCCTTCCTCTCCTCCCCCCGTTCTTTTCCAATTGTCTGTCTCATAGTTCAGTTGTAGGAGGTGAGAGCACGCCCAGGGTTGAGGGTATTATGACATTTCAGTTTACTGGTCCTAACAATTCCTTTGCACATTCCATTAGCACATTATTTATAGCTTCATAAAAGGGTCCCTTTTTTCCCCCCTCTAACATTATCCCTGTATCTCCGATGATAATGCTATCTGAGGATTGAACTGTTATTTTTAAAAAATCTATTTCCTAAGTTGACTCCTCATTGGCTCCCGCTATCCAGCCTCCCCTCCTGTCACACTTAAAAGTCTGCCCGCAAATCCTCTCAAGAGACGTGGCTCAAATCTAGCGGTTGAAAAAAGTCTGAGAGAGGCTTGAAGCCAAGATCCTGCGACTTACAACCTGCAGTTTCTGAGGCTGCCGAGAGCCCTGAACTCCAGATGCTTGTATAAACAAGACTTCCTAGAAGTCATTACCTCATAACTCCTCATAAGCTTACACCTGACAAGCCTCTCAAAGCGAGAGGGTTGTGTTTTCCCTAATAAATTCCTTTCTGAACCCACTTGTTAGTCAAGCGTTGTGCACACTAAGTACAGAAAGGACCCTGTGCCTTGGGCATAAATTATTCTTCTGTGCCACTGTCTCCCAGCACCCCCCAGTTATGGATTACTTCGTTCTCGACTTGACAGGAACATAATTAGAACTGTTGATGAAATCTACCAAATTGTTCCTCCGTGGCCTCAGTGGTCAGGAAATTTGGCTGAGTCGTATTTGTCACCGATGTGGAGGCTCTAAACACTTCATATTAACTACGTTATTAATGTGCCCTCTAATCTGCCCATGAATTGGTAACACTTGAAGTGAGCCTGGCCCTAATGGCACCTTGCAATGAATACATTGTTGGGCTGCATTAAAAGTTTCAGCAGGGAAAGGATGTTAATAAAATTCCTGTGTGTTTGCGCGTGCGTGTGTGTGTGTGTGTGTGCGTGTGTGTGTGTGCTGTCAGTGCCTTGATGCTTCCATTTCGAAACACAGCTTTACTTAGGCCTTTACCGATACCACAGTTTGTGCATTATCAAGTTGGCTGCTATTTTAGCCACTGCTTCATTCCGTGAATCCCCCTCCTGAAGTGAGCAGGCAGTGAGGTACAGTGGTTAAGAACATGCCATTTCAGATAATGTGGTGCCATGGCTCAGACTTGTAATCCCAGCACTTTGGGTGCCCGAGGCTGGTGGATCATTTGAGTTCTGGAGTTTGAGACCAGCCTGGCCAACATGGTGAAATCCCATCTCCGCTAAAAAATATAAAAATTAGTTTGGCATGGTGGCAGGCACCCATAATTCCAGCTACTCGGGAGGCTGAGGCAGGAGAATCACTTGAACCTGGGAAGCAGAGGTTGGACTGAGCTGAGAATACACCACTGCACTCCAGCCTGGGTGACAGAGTGAGACTCTGTCTCAGAAAAGAATAAAAGATCAAAACAAAAAAACAGAAACTTGGCATTAGGAGTGAGCCAGGTCTGGGTTGAAGTCCTAGCTTCTGCTCTTAGGAACTACAGACTCTTTAAACATGTTAACTTTGTTATACCTCATTTTTTTCCATCAGTAAAATGGGAATCATAGTATCTACCTTATAGGGTAGTTCTAAGGGACTAACTGGAGATATCTCTGAAAGAATCTTGCGCAGTATCTGGTCAGTGACCAGTGAATGACCCTGTGACTGATATTGATGTTGATGGTTATTAACAATTTCCTCACCCCTCTTGTCCTCAATGATTTCTTTTTCTTTCTTTTTTTTTTTTGAGACAGAGTTTCGCTCTTGTTACCCAGGCTGGAGTGCAATGGCACGATCTCGGCTCACCGCAACCTCCGCCTCCTGGGTTCAGGCAATTCTCCTGCCTCAGCCTTCTGAGTAGCTGGGATTACAGGCACATGCCACCATGCCCCGCTGATTTTTTGTATTTTTAGTAGAGACGGTGTGCATGGGTGTATGTTCGCAGATACACTCCAGGTGTGTCAGGGGCTCTGGTGTCCTTCAAGTAGCAGTTCTAGTACTGGAGAAAGAATAAACTTCACAGGTTAACAAAACAAAGGGGCTCTTGCTTGCAATTGATTTTCACAGCCATTCTATCAATATGATTCATATTTACGAGAAAATTAATCTTCTAAAATAAAAGAATAAAATAAATGTCACTTAAGGACGTACATATATACTTATATCCTAGTATCCTAGTGTTTTTCATCTTTAACAAGGACTTGAGACCCTTCTCTGTGCAATGCTGCATATATTAATATATCCCTAACCACGGGGCATTGAGACACCAGCAGGTTGACAAGTGTTCACAGAGATGCACACCGTAATCAACTATTCCACACGCAGACTAGGGTGATGAGTTAATAAAAGAGAAGAGGTAAAAGATGAGTCATTAGCAGGAAGGACATCTTTACGTATGGATTCCACCATCAATGAGAACACAGCAACAAAGTGATTGGTCACTAAAATAAAGCCTTTGGCTTCATCAGTTAGGCATGAAAAAGTTAAAAACCTAAATTTTATGACCAGTTGTTCTTCGGGGTTTTTTTTCCCTGTGCCTGAGTTTTCTACTTGTAGAAAATACAAATGCCAAATACTTGTAAAGACAATAAGCAATCTCTACAATACCAAGGAAAGTATCATGGCGAAGGTGTGTGTATTCTGGTTACAAGATTTTGATATTGTTTTAAATATTTATAAAACTCTTACTATCATTATGTGCTTTTAATAAGAACCCTCTGACACAGGAACTGTCAGCATCTCCACCAGGCAGATATGGAAACATACAAAACCTGGTCTCCCTCCACTCTGTGAAGGAAGTGCTTTGCAAAAAATGCCAACTGATCAACCAAACGAACAGGTAAATAATTAGCAGGCAAAGATATTAAGGTACTTTCAGAGTTTTAAACCCAAACTAATCAAACAAAAACACAACTTGTTTTCAATCCTTAAATTTGCAGAATATATATACAACTTTGGCTCAGTAATGGGATTACTGTTAAGTGTCGTGGGAATCCATTTCCATAGTAGCTATGAGGGCCATGAAGATCCCAGGCACTCCTCCCTCTGGGAAATAGCTCCAAGGTGTGGGCTCTGGTTCATTCTTGAGCTTGAGAAAAATGTTCAATCCTTGATAGTTTCAACCAGGAAAGAGTTAGTTTTAAGCAGAGAATAATGAACAATGAAATGGTAGGAAATGATTTGTGTAGGCACAATACCAAGAGGTAGAGATGTAAAGATAATTCAAAAGTTCTCAATTATTCTTGCACGTGGATCCCCAGTTTCCACCCTGTGAAATTCTGCACCTCTTTCGAGACCCTTTTTCAAATGCTACCTTATACATGAAGTCTTCCATGATTCGGATTCCATTTGGAATTAAGCTTCCTCTTCCTCGATTTCTCTTACTTTAACTTGTATTGTGATTATTTACATGGATCTATATTAGGACCTACTTGACTGTGAGTGACCAGCTTGTATTTACCTTTCTTTATTCATACATCACACTTGATACGGTATGTACCCTTGCATACCCTTTCATTCATTTATACATTTGACCAATTTGTGAGACAGAATACATATACAAACTGTCAATTTAAGACGTCAGATGAATTATATGAAATAAGTTCTGTATTTAGGAAGAGGAAAAATTGTGTATAACTAGAGAATTTTAAGAAACTTTACTTGCATACAAAGATGTAGGTCATAATTATTCCTGTTTTATAGATGAGAAAATGGAGAGGCTGAATTACTCCAGGTGGTGTAGTTAGTGAGGGATGGAACTAGGATTTATCTCAGCATTCCCTGCAGTTATTGTCAGATGCTAGAAATCAGAAGACAAACCAGAGCAATGAATAAATACAGTGTAACTATAGGTCACATTGGAATATGTTTTAAAAACCAGGACAGAATAAGGTGAGTGTCTTAGTACAATAAGAGAGAACATTTTAGAGACTTCTTTTGCACTAAAATCAGTCCAGTCTATCACTGTTATTTTTAACCTAATTCTTTTAGTAACAAAATAATGCGTATCTACTATAAAATATTTTAAGAATAAAGACAAACCTGAAGAAGAAAATGAAAATTACTCATCATTCTATTACATACAGAAAGCCACTGTTAACATTACGTATAAATAATTCTTTCAGGCTTTTTCTATGATCATCATCTTTAGATCTGAGCTGTATTTTTCTTTTGGTTTTGAAGCAATCAGGGCTTCCATATCAATGTCTGTGATGGACAGCAGGGATCACCCCCCTGCTCATAGAGTTGGGAAAAAGAGAAGAGCTTAAAGGGCCCTCATGAAAATTGCAGATACCGAAGGTCACTTCATGCAGTCAACTGATTATTGCAAAGTTATCAAGCCCTTCTAGAACCAAAGTGTATAAAAGTATGAAGGAGCAATTTCAGATTCCTTTCTGAACCAAGAACCAGAGCAATCATAACGTCATTCTAGCTAAAGACTCTGGGATCAAATCTGAAATTGGAATGTGTGTAGTATGGCCTACAATGAAAAGAAAGACCGTTGGACTCAGAAAGATTAAATTCCTTACCCTCAGTTTCCTTATCTGAAAAATAGAGTCAAGGATACTTACCTCTGAGGCTTATTAGTATAGGAATGAAATTAAACCAGGAAATTTCTCATGATATCAAATAATACTGTAATAATTTAATAATGTTATTCTAACAATAGTATTATTGTCACTAACCTCTGCTTATCACCTATCTTGACTTCTGAGCTGGGTTGTAAACTGTGCTGATATGGCTGGCAAGCCCAGAACACACGGGAAGCACTCAAAGCTCAAGGTCAATAGGTCTACCAGCTCTCATTATTCCCCACTATACGTTTGATCCCAATACTACATTTTATCCTACCATTTATTTACTGGTCCAGATAAATACATTCTATTAGAATAGTGCCTTTAGCCAGTGTGCATGGACGT